AAGCCACAAAACAGAACTGGAGAGAAGTACAGCTGATGAAGGATGTCCATAAAATAGAAGCTTGAAAATGGTTGTTTGAGGTGCATATTAATAGTAAACTGTCTTAGTAGAAAGCTGAAACCCAAACCTCTCATGGACAGTGACATTGAGAATCAAATCAGTTCACACACCGTAGAACCTTAGTCTTTGGTCTGGGACCTACGTTATATCTGAAAGCAGGTGTATGGGGTGGTGCTGAAAACAGAATTGGTTAAAATTTTTAAAGGAGCAGTTTATCCTGCAGAATTTTGGCTGAATAGGGTAAGGGGAGTCTACTCAGGCAAACAGGAGGCTTACTTTCTAAATGAGTGATTAAATCAACTTAAACTCTAGTGCGAATGAGGGTAGAGGAAACAACAGTAAAAAGAAGGAAATTAAAGCAAATGTTGAGGTCTCTGCCTCCCTGCCCATGATCATTTCTCAAAGCTCTTGCAGTCTTTCTTGTTCCCAAAATGGAAGAGAGAAGGTATTGGTATCTTCCAGAATACTGTCACTGGTTTAGAAGACTTGGAGATACTGCCATTTGGAAATTTTTGAATGAAATAGCCAGGTCTCTCTGCTTTATCCCCTACAGTGAAACCCATTGAAAGGCACCGACCACGCACCCACATTGTTCTCAGTCAGTATCTTGGTGCTCCACAAACAGTCAAGGACCACCAGAGAGTGAGGGAGCCTCCAGGTAGTAGAGAGAAATACATAGGCAAAGAGAAGGAGCCTGACAGAACAAGCCGAGTGCTGGGAGACAGGGAGTTACTTGAAAACTAATATCCTCAGAGGTGAGAGAAGGAATACTTCATTAATGAGGTAAGAAAGACTAAAAAAAGAAAAGTTTTGGAAATTAAGAATATTATAGCTGAAGTTTAAAAAAGTTGAATGTAATTGGAAAATGAGTTGTAAACAAGGAATGAGCTACACTGATAGAATCCTAGACTCTGCATATATTCGAAGAGCTTCTAGAGAGAGAAAATAGACCATGTGTAAAAGAATGTTGCCAATAACAGATGAAGCAGTGGAGCACTACCTTGAAAATTCTGGGGAAAATAATTATTAACCTAGAAATCTGAGATGCAGCCAAACTGTCAGTCTAGTGTTAGGGCAAAATAAAGACGTTTTCAAAGACATTAAGAGCTTAAAAATTCATTCTCAAACATCCTTTCTCATAATTACACTGGAAGATATGTCTGTGTCACTTAATGAGAAAGTAAACAAAGAGACAATGTGAGATTCAGAAAAACGAGTTCCTAAAAGAAACAGAAAAGGAGAAAAAAAACAATAAGCAAATTAGTTCAGACCCAGGAAAAGGAGGGATTGTGAAGATAATAGAGGACAGTCACAGAATGACAGTTGAGCCGCAGCTTTTAGAGAGTTACCAGTTCAGATTGGAGCAGAGCAGAGGAAGGGTGTTTCCAAGAGAGTGAGGAGCAAACCTGATGGATGAATTGATGTATTTGAATGTATTAAGAGATCTTTACATTTGTTGCAGTTAGTTCAATTAATGACAGATAATACAACATAAAAACAAGAAAAAGCTATCATCAACCATAGGAAAAGGAAGAAGTTATACAAAAAAAGTAATTGTAATTCAGTATATGGCCTAGCTGAGAATGTTTATATAGTTATGATAATGCAACATTGTTTACATCGTGTTGATATATCAAAAAGAACATTTGGAGCCTTCCATGGTGATCCAGTGGTTAAGATTCTGTGCTTCCCCTGGTGGGGTCAGTTCCTCAAGTTGCACAGTACAGCTTAAAAACATTTGTGGAGGAGAAGTCTATCTTCTGGAGGAAAAAAAATTTTTAAATAACCAAAAATAACACGGTAGAGTAGTATATATCTTGCTCAGTTGTATCCAGCTCTCTTGTGGCCCTATGGACTTCAGTTCTTCTGTCCTGGAGCTCACCTGGCAGGAATACTGGAGTGAGTAGCCGTTCCCTTTTCCTGGGGATCTTCCCGACTCAGGGATTGAACCCTGGTCTCCCTGTTTACTCTCTGAGCCACCAGGGAAGCCCAGAGTAGTATGAACATGTGATGAGTTCTTTGGTGGAGCTGAATTAAGAGTGAGAATTGCTGTAATTTTTAAAAAATAAGTCCAGAAGTGCTGTTGGACTTCTTAAAGTATGAATATACATTAACTTTGATAAAAAAGAAACGATGTATCACTGTTGTCCAAAGGATAGATTAGTAAGTGAATGTGTGAAATGACCTCTAGGAAACCACAATTTAGACAAATCCACAATTGGAATTGCTTGATAATTACCTGAGAATTACCCAGAAATATGTGAAATAGCTTTGGGACTAGATTTTCATACTTAGCATTGGCCAGAAAACTAACAGTTCTTCCCATAGAGAGCATTTCATCTAGTGGTGGCTTCCCGACAGAGACTTCCAAGTGAAGAAGGAATGCTGTGTAAACTGTATGTACTTCTTCAGTATTGAGTGAAAAAACCTGATTGAGAACAACTCAGCACCCTTAGGGCTTAAAAACTACAGTGTACCTACAATGTAGCAATTCTCCGTCTAGTTGAAGGAAATTATTATTTCTGATTGTGGTTGGGTACCTATCACAAACTTATATTCCTGGCTTCTTTAATCACTTAAAATAAGTATCATCTTTTAAATGTATAATGAGGGGTAAGAAGATAAGTTCTTGGAACTCCATCTTCACTCTTCTCCCCAGTCAGTTCAGTTGCTCAGTCGTGTCCAACTCTTTGTGACCCCATGAACCATAGCACGCCAGGCCTCCCTGTCCATCACCAACTCCTGGAGTCCACCCAAACTCATGCCCATTGAGTCGGAGATGCCATCCAACCATCTCATCCTCTTTTGGCCCCCTCTCCTCCTGCCTTCAATCTTTTCCAGCATCAGGGTCTTTTCCAGTGAGTCAGTTCTTCGCATCAGGTGGCCAGAGTATTGGAGCTTCAGCTTCAACATCAGTCCTTCCAATGAACTCTCAGGACTGATCTCCTTTAGGATGGACTGGTTGGATCTCCTTGCAGTCCAAGGGACTCTCAAGAGTCTTCTCCAACACCACAATTCAAAAGCATCAATTCTTCTGCACTCAGCTTTCTTTATAGTCAAACTCTCACATCCATACATGACTACTGGAAAAACTATAGCCTTGACTAGACAGACCTTTGTTGACAAAGTAATGTCTCTGCTTTTTAATATGCTGTCTAGGTTGATCATAACTTTTCATCCAAGGAGTAAGCATCTTTTAATTTCATGACTGCAGTTGCCATCTGCAGTAATTTTGGACCCCAAGAAAATAAAGTCTGTCACTGTTTCTTCGTCTATTTGCCATGAAGTGATGGGACCGGATGCCATGATCTTAGTTTTCTGAATGTTGAGCTTTAAGCCGACTTTTTCACTCTGTTTCACTTTCATCAAGAGAGTCTTTAGTTCTTCTTCACTTTCTGCTGTTAAGGGTGGTGTCATCTGCATATCTGAGGTTATTGATATTTCTCCCAGCAATCTTGATTCCAGCCTGTGCTTCATCCAGCTCAGCGTTTCTCATGATGTACTCTGCATGTAAGTTAAATAAGCAGGGTCACAATATACAACCTTGACGTACTCCTTTTTCTATTTGCAACCAGTCTGTTGTTGTTCCATGTTCAGTTATAACTGTTGCTTCCTGACCTGCATACAGATTTCTCAAGAGGCAGGTCAGGTGGTCTGGTACTCCTATCTCTTTCAGAATTTTCCACAGTTTATTGTGATCCACACAGTCAAAGACTTTGGCATAGTCAGTAAAGCAGAAATGATGTTTTTCTGGAACTCTCTTGCTTTTTCGATGATCCAGCGAATGTTGGCAATATGAAAATATCCTCTCCCCAATATGAAATATCATTTGTTACAGCTGTTCTGGGTGGGACATGTGTGATAAGTGAGTAATAGCGTGAAACCAAACAGCTGTTGTATAGTAACTTAACAGAAAGTTAGTATGCTGTTAAGTAGAAAGTAGGCTATTACCCACAGGACTGATGAAAGAAACCCAAAATACTTATGATCTTGCAGTAGCAGGAACTTGGCCTCCCAGTTAGGCTGATTTATTTTTAACAAAGTTAGATTGGCCTTTGTGAGACAAGCTTGGCTGGAGATTGAAAGACCAGTTGTCGTTTGTTCTGTAGACTTTACCCAGAGTTCTGAGGAGAGAGCAACGGCAGTACCAGCATCAGTTTATTGCAGACAAGTGTGTTCATAGGTGGAAATGACTAATAAGACAGACTTGATGGCAAAGAAAAACCAAGAGCAGTAATCTTTAACAGTTTTTGTGGTTAGCAGGAGCTATTTGTACTTTATCTTTCTTAACCTGGAAGAATGTATCCATAGAAATGGACTTGTAAAACCAAAAAGTAAGTTGTCAGCAATACAACCAAAAACATTGCTATAGCAGAAAGCTGTTTTAATCAAGACTTCTACTTTTCCTAATTCCATACAATTGGAGGAGGATGGTGAGGGTGCATATATTGAAGTTGGTGATTAAATGGTACTTTATGGTTGACAAGGGCTTGATGGTTTCAGTTCCCCTGGTCAGCTCCTACTTGAGGTGAGTTAATAGTACCTGTTGTTTAGGTCGTAACTGGAAAGGACATATTAAGTGTATTACTGATATTGAATAATTTTATTTCTTTTATATGCTTAATATTTCAAGACAGTTTAAGTTTGCACATAAGTGCCGGAACATATTGACTAAAATTTTGGTACTTAGTGCCCTAAGCATAGCAATTTTACGTGCTTCTCTAGTTTTCTGTATTGTGGCCTCTTATATTTTCCTTTTGTCTGTGGCTTAACAAGATAAAACTAGCATTTGGAAAAATTATATAAATGCAAGCACTATTATTTTAAATTCAATTTTTATACATATTTTAACCTTCTCTTGTCAATATGCCAGTATCAGTACTGGTTTAAAACCTTTTAAAATAAAAATTAAGGCAAAATCTTTTTGTGTCTTTGTACAGGAAACTCTAAATACAATGAAATGGGAGGAAAGAAAAATTCAATAATAAAGACAAACAAGGTTTGTTGAAATAAAGAAAAAATATTTTTCTTAGATAATAACAATTTATGGTTGGTTGGTACACAGCTCTGGTCCGTCGGGTACATCAAAATATTTAAATGTAGCTATGTCCTACCTATTATGGAAGTGATTTTATTTGCTGTTTCACCAACCTCATTTTACTTTTCTAGCCTCGAGGATCAAATCCATGTACAAATCAGTGCTTCAGGAATTTTTCCTCCAATGTCTTTTCTTCTAGTTACACTGGAGAATCTTCTTTTGCCTATACGGCTTACTGGTTAGTATTTTTTACTTTTAATTTATGCTGTTTTTATATTTGATGTTTTATTTATTGCAGTTAACTTTTGGTAGAAATTTAAACTTGGCTCAACAACATTATGAAAGCCCATGTTGTTGTTGTTTTTGTTTCTTTTGGCAAATAAATAGAGCCTTATTTTGTGACCGTCTATTATTCAGTGACTGTTAGTGGGCTTCCTTTTCCTTAATAATAAATTAAGTTGTACACAAGGTTTGTATATGATAGAGACGTAGGCTAGTTGTTAAGTTGTTAAATTATGGGGGTACCCTTTAAGAGTAGACCCAGTCATTTTTTAATCCATTGTGACTGTATGATGCTGTGTAGATATTTGTGGAATTTGAAGATTAAGTTGAGGTTTAAAAATAATGGAGCTGGTTGAATAAACAAGACAGATTAAGATTATGATTTAACTTTAAAGATTGGCAAGGTACCAAAGAAAACAATTACAGTTGAGTAGCCTTTTAAAAAACTGAACTCTGCCTATTTTGGGTTTTAAAAATAACCATGCCTCCTTTATTTTGTTCCTTTGTCTTATGTGTAGTTTCAGATGGCAAACTATTGCACCTAGAATTTTCGGCTTGAACTGCTCTTTGCAGCTTTGGTTCATGGGAAAGAAATAGTATTACTTCTTTTTTTCAATACTAAAAATATTAGTCTGAATTGACTTTATAAAAGTGGTCACAAGTCAGATTTAGTTCCATTTTTATTTGTAATATAAAAATTTAAGTTACTTTAGGAATGGGTCCATTTTGAAAAGTGTTTAGATAGAAAAAGTTTCTTTTTTTTTAATGTGACTTATAATGCTGGGTATTAAAATTTCTGTTATTCATGATATAACCCACTTTTTATTCTGTACTTAAAATTTTGGAATTCTGATGAGGATCTAAAATTTATCTTTTAGTACAGAATTTATAGAAGTCAATGAAGTCAGTGCTTTGATTAGGCAGAAGAGACAGGAACTGGAATTGTCATGGTTTCCTGATACATTACCTGGAATTGGAAGGTAAAAAAATTGTTTACTAAAATGTTTAAATGCTAATGTGTGCATAAGATAGTATTATCTTATATACAGAGATATTCAACAGTTATATTTCTAAGAAAGTTTTGTTTAATTAAATCTTGGTGTTTCAGATGCCTAATGAAAGGTCATAGTAAGGAACCCCTTGAAAAATAAAGAATATTGTATTTGTTTGTTTAATAATGTAAATATTTGATTTCTTTAACAGGGAGAACACCTAAACGATGAGGTTCATTATTAGTAATAGCATTCTGTTATCTTTTCCTCCATTCCAGTCTTCCCTGTGTGCTGTTAGCTGAAGCATTGCTTTTGTTCTGACACTTCCATCTCCACTGTTGTTCTAAACAACTGCTTGATCAAGTCCCTACTTTGCCCTGGCATTCATGACTATATAGCCTAGCCTTTTCTCTTTAGTGTAAGCCCTGAAAATATTAGCACATTGCTTGCTAGGTACATGATATGTACTTAAGTCAAGCTCCTATGTAAAGATTAAGTTCCTTGCCAGAGTTTTATATTCATTCCTATAACTTTTATATGTCACTGTAATGGAGTTCTGCATAGGGCCTTCATTCTCTAGGAGTAACAGTGGAATATAAATAAGTAAAATTAGACAAAGTCCAGATATGTAAAATATGAAAATTTCCCTTAGAGCTGTATATTTTTTGTGTGCAAGATGCACATTGTTTTTCAAATTTCTTTCATCCTCCAGAATCTCACCTTAGACTGGATGAAATATTCTTTTGTTAGGAGACCTGACTGAACAGATATGAGTCAGAGTAGGAACAAGCTGAGAGGGTTTGGTATGACTGCAGTAACTGGGGTGCTGCAGGTCCAGAGGGATCCTGGGAACTTTGAAGAACCATTGTCTTCAGATTGAGGAATTTTAGCATATACCATAGCAATAGAAATCAGTTGCAGTTCTTTTCTCCTTTTTAAAAATGTATTTTGATATTTTTGGCCTTGATATATGCCATAAAAACACAAATCTAACAAAAAAATTCAAAATTCAAGTGATGTAACTTTCCTTTCAGTTTTTTTACATTTTTGTTTATTTATGGACTGATTCCCCTTTGACCTTGCTAATTTCTTTAAAACCTGATCCGATTAACTCAGCTCAATTATCTTTTTGGTTGCCTGGACATAGGATGGGGAATGATACGGATGCTGGAAATGTTCTATTTCTTGTTTGGGGTATTGGTTATACAAGTATATTTATACACTGGCCAAAAGTCATTACACTATGCACTTAAAATCTGTACATTTCATTTGTGTATTTTATTTATCTACATTTTATTGTCCAAGTTGGTTATTTTTCAAGTAGTGAAAAAAAGTTAAAATTCTTGACAAAATAATTGCATTAACTTATTTAAATGAGAATCAACTACTATATATTAAATTGCCCTTGATAACACTTTGCTATTAATTTATTGAAAAAGCATGCTTTTAGAAGGTTTTTTATATTTTTATTTTTTGTAACCAGTTGGTAGCCATCTTGGTTACTATGAGTAACCTTGAATTTACATTTTTAGTTGTTTGGCAAAAATAATTTAAGCACCTATAGTTTAATATTTCTAGCTTATTTGGAAAATTAATACTTATAAATTGCTGGTTTTATTATTTAAACAAAAATGTCTTTATTTTGTTTTAAATTTTCAGAATTAGTTTTATACCCTGCAATATTGAAATAGAAGTCCTTCCTCTCATCTCTTCTGTGTTGCCAAGAACTATTCTTCCAACAAGTACCATATCTTTAGAAAATTTTGGTAAAGTTTTTGAATTTCTTTCTAGTTAAAAAAAAATTACTAAGCCTCTTTCAGTCTCATGAAACGTGTAGGTTTTGATGACTTAGAAATGCTGTAAAATAAGGTATGGATAATGAGTCCTAGATATTTCTATAAATATTTGTACAGTGACTTGACTTTAAAATTGTTGCAACTAGAAAGTCCTTTTACTTTAAGAAATTACAGCTTTGTGTCTGAGGAACTGATTAGAAGTTTCCTTTCTGTTTAGAGGTTCAGGGTTCAAACCACTGATTTTTAGAAGTAATACCTCCTATGAATTGTGAACAAATAGTTTGAGTCTTTACTATTTGTGGATAGCTGTTGTATCCTGCTTTTGCCTAGGTATTATGATTCATGAAGCAAATGGCAATTAACAGACCAAAAATTTTCTTTTGTTTTTTTCACTATAGAATTGCCCACATGGATTCAAATCTTGGGATAACTCATTTCAGTAGCTTTCAAAAATTGGTATTACTCTGATGTTAGTAGCTATGCATTTATTAATAATTCAATTCACAAGTATATTTTGTTTTACTGTTATAGATGTCTATTTTATGCATATTTTAAAATAAAATATGATAGCTTATTCTATCAATTCTTATCACTTGATGAAACATATACTTACTTTTTCCTTTTTGTATACTATTAGGTACTTCTTGCAAAGGCTATGCATTAGCACATACTCAAGAAGGGGAAGAGAAGAAGCAAACTTCTGGTACCTCAAACACCAGAGGATCAAGACGAAAACCTGCAGCAGCAACACCTACAAGAAGATCTACACGTAACACAAGAGCTGAACCAGTCAGTCAGTCTCAGAGATCCCCAGTATCAAATATTTCTGGGTGTGATGCCCCAGATAACAATAATCCATCTGTAAGTGTTTCCTCTTCAGGTGAGTCAGAGAAGCAAACAAGGCAGGCTCCAAAACGGAAGTCTGTAAGAAGAGGAAGAAAACTACCTTTATTGAAAAAGAAACTTCGAAGCTCTGTGCCTACCCCTGAAAAATCATCTTCCGGTGATTCAGTTGATGAAGAAGTAGCAGAACCTGACATACCACCTGAGTTAGAGAAAGAACACCAATCAGATGTAGAAAGTATTAACACTGTGCAGATAAATGTAGAAGATGAGTCTGCTAATGGCTTAAGAAGTTGCAGTGAGCCATTAAAAGAGAGTGAAGAATGTGCTGAGACCCATGATACAGAGGAAAGAGTAGAAACTTTACATTCTGAGTCTGGTACCCAAGATCCTCCTGTGTTATTTGGAGGGGAGGAGGAAATTCAAGAAGTTGAGAATACAGGTATAGAAGTTAATGTTTTATGTCTGGAAGGTGAGATTTCTGCAAGTACTTCCAAAAAAGGAAGTGATTCATTGGGAAATCAAGACCCAGTAGCTGAACCTTCAGAATCAGAAATAAAAGCAGATATATGTATAGATCATGCTCCAAATGATTCTCTTACATGTTCAGGATCTGAAATTGAAGTGTACCAACCCGCATCAAGCTTAGGTGAGTTACCTGAGAATGCGGAGTCAATAGTTAATGAAGAAAAAGTTATGGAGAGTCCTGTAGTAAATATTATTGATCATAGAGATTCTACAGTAAAAACAGAACAGCTTATTGACAGTCCCAAATTAGAATCTTCAGAGGGTGGAGTTACACAAGCAGTGGACAGAAAATCTATTGAGAGTTTAGAGGTTCATTTGCTTGGGCATGATGAAAATGAAGATGCAGACATAATTGCAACATGTGATACTTCAGGGAATGAAACTCTGAATAGTATTCAAGACTCTGAAAATAGTTTATTAAAAAAAAATCTTAACACCAAATTGGACAAATCTTTAGAAGAAAAGACTGAATCTTTGGTTGAACATCCCAGATCTACAGAATTGCCTAAAACACACGTTGCACTGATTCAGAAGCATTTTAGTGAGGATAATAATGAAATGATACCTATGGAATGTGATTCATTTTGCAGTGACCAAAATGAATCCGAAATCGATCCATCTTTAAATGCTGATGCTAAACAAGTAAGTGAAAATTCTGTGGAGCACAGTTCCCAAAAGAATATGTCATCTTCTGATCCTCCAAATGAAAAGGTTGAAACTGTATCTCAGCCATCTGAAAACCCAGTAGATGTGACAGATAAAGCCAAAAAGCCTCGTACGCGAAGATCTAGATTTCACTCTCCGTCTACAACTTGGTCTCCCAACAAAGACACTGCCTGGGAAAAGAAGCGGTCTCAGTCTCCGTCTCCTAAAAGAGAAACTGGAAAAGATAGCAGGAAGTCTCGATCACCATCTCCTAAGAAAGAATCTGTTAGAGGACGGAGAAAATCTCGTTCTCAGTCCCCCAAAAAGGATAGTGCAAGAGAAAGGAGGAGATCTCAGTCTCGGTCTCCAAAAAGAGATAGTGCTAAGGAAGGCAAAAGATCTGAGTCTCTCTCCCCAAAAAGAGAGAACAGAAGATCTCAGTCGAGAGTGAAAGATTCCTCCCCAAGAGAAAAATCCAGGTCCCGGAGCAGAGAAAAAGAGAGTGATAGAGATGGGTCAAGAAGAGACCGAGATAGAGAAAGGAGAATGAGAAGGTGGTCTCGATCCAGATCACGGTCAAGGTCACCATCAAGATCTAGAACAAAATGTAAGGGTTCATCATTTGGTAGAAATGACAGGAACAGTTACTCTCCTCGATGGAAAGAAAGATGGGCAAATGATGGTTGGAGATGTCCACGAGGGAATGATCGATACAGAAAGAGTGACTCAGAGAAACAGAATGAAAATACAAGAAAAGAAAAAAATGACATCAGTCCAGATGCTGATGATTCAAATTCTGCTGACAAACATAGAAATGACTGTCCCACTTGGGTAACAGAAAAAATAAATTCTGGGCCTGATCCGAGGACCAGAAATCCAGAAAAGTTAAAAGATTCTCATTGGGAAGAAAATAGAAATGAGAATTCAGGGAATTCTTGGAATAAAAACTTTAGTTCAGCTTGGATGTCTAACCGTGGTAGAGGTAACCGTGGTAGAGGTAACCATAGAGGTGGTTTTGCCTATACAGATCAAAATGAAAACAGGTGGCAAAACCGAAAACCCCTCTCAGGGAATTCAAATAGTTCAGGGAATGAGACTTTCAAATTTGTGGAGCAGCAACCCTATAAACGGAAAAGTGAGCAAGAGTTCTCCTTTGATACACCAGCCGATAGGTCGGGGTGGACATCTGCATCGAGTTGGGCTGTGAGAAAGACTCTGCCAGCAGATGTACAGAACTATTACTCGAGACGAGGGAGGAATTCTTCAGGCCCGCAGTCTGGATGGATGAGGCAAGACGAGGAAACAGCTGAACAGGGTAACATGTTTATTTATCAACACTTTTATTTGAAGAAAGAGATTATAAATTTAACACCTTATTTGTATGAATTGAAGTGATCTCTGTTTATAGTTTTATGCTAAATTGAACCTCACTTTATATTATGTAATAAACACTTCAGTATATATTTTTTCACTCCATGCCTGCCCCCAACCTTGCCAAAGACCTAAATATTTTATGTATAATTTGCAGTAGAAGGATTTGGAGTAATTCTATGCAGGATTTAAATTCTATTTCATTTATATTGGATGTGTGCATTTGAATTTTTTTGATTGTTGTTTAGTAAGTCGCTCAGCTAAAAAAGATGTATCCTTCCTTGACTTTTCTTAAAGACACTGACTCGACTTTTTGTAAGAAAAGAGCTGTTGAAGATTTTAAAAAGTGATTAACCTTCTAAGTTAGTAATTAAATTTTATGATGATTTAAATAGTAAGTTTCTTGAGCTGCTGATTCTTTGCTTGTGTTGCCCAATGTTATGGTGTGAAGTCATTCTTAAAAATAATTTTATTTGAATGTTTATTTCAGTTAGAAAGTCATCCCACATTATTTGGGAATGACAGAATTAAACTGAATAATTAGATAGGTTTAGGTTAATTGGTATTTAGTTTTACAGTAATCAGTGGCTCTTTGTTTCTCTAAGGAAATTTGTAACATGATTTTTTTCATAAGTCTTTTTCTTTTGATAGAGTCTAATCTGAAAGATCAAACAAACCAACAAGGTGATGGTTCTCAGCTACCTATAAATATGATGCAGCCACAAATGAATGCAATGCAGCAGCACATGAGTGCACACCAGCCTGTGAACATGTTTCCGTATCCAGTGGGTGTTCCTGCTCCTTTGATGAACATGCAGCGCAGTCCGTTCAGCATTCATCCTCAGCTGCCCTTGCACCTACACACCGGAGTACCTCTCATGCAGGTGGCGGCTCCTAGCGGAGTATCTCAGGGACTGCCGCCACCGCCGCCCCCTCCCCCACCATCCCAGCAAGTCAGCTACATTGCTTCACAGCCGGATGGAAAGCAGTTGCAGGTATGTTTTCAGCCACTCAAGTGTAGTTAACGTTCGCCATTGTAAACTTTTAGCTATTAGGGATGGATGTTCAAGGAAGGGTTTCTTGCTGGATATCCATATACAGTGGCTTATTTGATTAGACTTATGGTAAATCTTTATAACCCCTCTTTCACTGTCCTTGTATAACCCCTCTTTCACTGTCCTTTCCCAAACCTCCCAGTCCCAAATAAGAAAATGAATTGAATACGTGTTATCAAATCTAAGCTACGTGTTTGCTGGTGCTGATATCCAAACAAGTATTTTGGTTAGTTTAAGAAAACCAAATTATGAGGCAAACTAGAGTCATGTGATGGACACTTGAAAAAGTGTCCCTATTTTATTGGACTTGAGGGGGTGGGAACTTGCTGTGACTGGGTACTGTGATAAAGCATGTGTTGTCTTGCTCAGACTGACACCACATAAAGTTGTTCATTGTGCATTACCGTATGTGTTTCATTTTCAGGAATTTGTCGTGCTAAAAAGAAAGAAGTGCCTCTTGGGCATATAGTAAATTTGAATAAAAATTGTAATGGTTGTGTTGCCTTATTGTTTCATGTCTGTATCTCAGAAATGCTATAGATTCCTGGCAGCAGGATATAGTTGGAAGAGCCGGAAAGTGGGAATTTGGGATCTTACGTCTTTTTGTGCTGTCAGCTCACAGCAAGCCATTTGACTCCACTGTCTTATTTTCCTCTGTCTTTAAAGTGGGGCACCTGCCTTAAAGATACTACAGGAAAGATACTGTCATTGATGCTGCTTTTCTCCTTGTTGTTGGTTTTAGTGTTACTGTCAGAACATTACAATACATATATATTTTAAAAGTCATCATGACGTGATGGGATTCTATTTAAGAATGTTACTCATTTTTCTTCAGTCCTTTAGATAAAAATTACCTGAAATACACATTTCTCCTAAGCACTTAAGCATTAAATTGCCTTGATTTTTTTCTTTTTTTAATGTCTAATAGGTAACTAAATGTCTTTTATTTAGTACAAATAATTGATTAACTGATGATACCTCTTTAAAACAGGGTATTCCTAGTGCTTCTCATGTAAGTAGTAACATGAGTACACCAGTCTTGCCTGCTCCGACAGCAGCCCCAGGAAATATGGGAACAGTTCAGGGACCAAGTTCTGGTAATACTGCGTCATCAAGTCACAGCAAAGCTTCTAATGCTGCTGTAAAATTGGCGGAAAGCAAAGTAAGTGTTACAGTGGAAGCCAGCGCAGATAGCTCGAAGACAGACAAGGCAAGTTCAAAGTTGAGAGCAATCTACATAATTCTGCATATGATTATGATAAAAATAACAGTTTTCTGTTGTATAAGTGGCAAAGAGAATTTATTTTTGATAGTCTTAAATTCCAGTTTAAAGAATTCTCTACATATGTTGGTGCCCATTGAATTATTGGCTGTATTTCTTGTTTATTTTTAGAAATGTTTGATTTGTGTTAGTAAATAACTATTTTGTATTTATGATGCTAATATTGGAACAGTTTCTTGTAAATGTGCAGTGTTTTCAATTTTATATTTTTAAATAATTTTTTTGAAAGTTTGTGATTTCGCAAATAATAATTACACATTTTCCTCTTATCAGAAACTGCAAATTCAAGAAAAAGCAGCACAGGAGGTAAAATTGGCCATTAAGCCATTTTATCAAAATAAAGATATCACCAAGGAAGAATATAAAGAGATTGTACGGAAAGCAGTAGATAAAGTAAGTTATAGCTTTAGTGGAGTTACGTACATATTAGTTTGAACATTCCTATTTTAATAAAGAAATGCTTAATTAAATCTAACTAAAATAGTAAGAGGTAGCTTCTACTAATCAGCTTTTTTACCTTTTGAGAAAATGAAATATATACCTTATAGGCGATACAAAACACGTAACAATGTCTGATTATGTCTCTGGGGTATTTGTTTTTCAAAGAACTTTCCCTTTAATCCCTTTAAGTATGAAAAAAAATTCTGTCTTTTTTATAGGTGTGTCATAGTAAGAGTGGAGAAGTAAATTCTACTAAAGTGGCAAATCTGGTTAAAGCCTATGTAGACAAATACAAATATTCACGGAAGGGAAGCCAAAAGAAAACTCTGGAAGAACCTATGTCTGCTGATAAAAACGTGTGCTGAAAGGGGAGCAGTAGAACGGACACTGATGAGATATCTGCAAAGTGCAATTTCAACATGTACCTTTACCTGAAAGTCATACATAGCTGTGATTGAAATTTGGTTTTGATAAAATTATCTTTTTTAATGTAGGATATAATGTTTTGTTCTAAATAAATATAGTTCAGCACCGCAATATCTATATCTTTTCCTCCTCTCCATTTCCCGCCCCCCCACCCAAATAAAATTCAAGGGAAAGTAAAGGGTTTAAAGGAATATGCATTTTTACTAGGACTGGATTATACTGTGGATACTGAAAGATGTACAGGTTTTTGATTTGAACAATGGAGTGCATAAATTAGAAACTTCAGAGTGCACTGGTTTTGGAAGAGATATATATAATACATTTATTCTGTCAGGCTAAAAATAAAAAATGGTCTTATGATTTTTCTCTCTAATTATAGAAAGATAAATAATGTATTACCATGAAGAATATTTCTAATAACAGAACATACCAGTTGCGGGGTTCTTAATGTGTATTTTTAAAGCACACATCTGAATAAATTGCTTAGGTAGAAGATATGATCACGAGTAAAATTCAGTGTTCAGAACTTTAGAACACTGTTCACCTATTGTATCACCAAATAAAAGTTATGCTGCTTGTTTTTCTTTTGTGCCTTCTTTTCCCCAATTGAGATGAAGCAGTTTGATTTGTTACATTTACAACTTTGGCAGTCTCAGCTCTGTTGAATTTAGAAGACCTGTTTGGAAAAAGTGTTGACCTTGTAAAAATTACATTCTTCCATAATATCTTCTGCTCATCAGAAATGGTAAACTGCTTGTGCCAACTGGAGAATTGCTTTTAAGTCGTGACCCTCCTTTCCTTGGGTCTAAGGCAAAATAAAATCATGATATTCGCTTCAGGGGCTTTCACGTTGTTGATCCATCTATTAATCACTAATGAAATTCTTCTTACACTTGGGAAATCTCCAAATGCTTTACAGTGAATAAAGTGTTAATTTGGTAACCATTTTACAAAATTCGAGACATTAAAACCTGTGTTTTGGAAAAAGGAGAGGAATTAAATAATGGAGTCTTAGGCTTTCAGGGGCTAGAGATTTTTTTTTTTTTTTTTCAGTACTAGAATATGTTAATTTTTATTAAAAGTAAGTTTAAAATGTTCTAGCCTTATTATTTTATTTGGCATCTTGGAAGAAAAAATGGGTTAACTCCATGATAAACTGTTTCATTCCAGTAACAATTTTCAATAGATACCAAATAACTGGAAAGCACTTCAGATCAGATGTTAATGGCGCAAAGATAGATATATGCCTCAGTGAGACAGGCTGACCATTATGCTAGGTAAATAGTGAAAGCAATACTCCAGGACTGCTTTTCTGAAGTAAAGATTATCTGTTTCTCAGTTTATGTGTGTAATACTTTCCTGGTGCTAGCTTCGATAGGCGAATTTTAAAATGTTGGCCCCAGTAATGATTGTACTACTTCATAATCTTTATTTGATTATGAGTATAATCCCAAAAAGTGTTAGAAATACTTCCAAGCAGTTTCTGATCTTTATTCTGCATTTCTGGGCGTTTGTAATATGGTGTTCTACTGATTTATATATATTTTTAATTAAAGTTTATGTTAAGATTATGATGGGGCAAGAGTTTTGGAAGTATATTTCTTATAATAAAATATTAAGACAGTGTTTCAATTGTCAACACACACCTCCTCATTTGTTTTGGTTTTGGACTCTATAAAGTTTTAGAACTTTTTGTTTCTAAAAAACAGTTCTGTGAACTTTCGATTTTGGATTAAAGCTAGTTCCCACTTAGAAAATTTTGTAGCAAATTGCCTAAGTTGACTAATCACACAACATATTTTTCCTACATCTTCTTTCAGTGAGATTTGGGAGTTGGATGACAGTTTAAAATTTGCTTTATACCATTTAGCTTGTGCAAACATGTTTAAAGGTTTTGAAAAAGTAAATGATGTGGTCAAGAGTTAAAGTCTCATATCTTTGGTAGCAGTACCATGAGTTAATTGAATTCTTAATACACATTTTTTGAATAACAGATATGTACTCTGTATCTGGTTGGGGGTACTGGTTAGACTGCACTTGAAATAAGAATACTACTGGACTAGAATCAACTCTGAAATATTTAAGAATGTATTAGAAAGTGCATGCTTTATGTTAAAAAGAATACATTGCTTTTTAACATTCCCCATTCTTTTATCAGAAATTAAGTTGCATGTGTACAAACTTAAAAACACTTTGTGGGGTTGCAGATTTCTCGTTATATATGAAGATTCAGTATTAACTTGATCTTTGAAACCTTGGTCCCTCTAACTTACTAGTCACATTGACTGATGTTTTAGGCGATAGTGATGCCTAGAATTTTGAGACTAAAATTAGTTACTTGTTATTTTAACATTCCAAAAATTTGGATTGCTTTCCCCTCTGGTAATGACAGTTTTTCCATTATCTTCCTTTAAATGGACACGGTATGTACTGCCTAAATGTTCCATCCAAAAGATGTAGCTTCAGAAGCACAGTGGTTGCTCCATGGTCCATGAGACATTGTTTGTAGTATGAGGATGGAGTGCTGTCTACTGAAACAATACTCTTTAAACAGATATGTAGTATGTAATATTTTCTAATAAATTCTTTTGATAAACAGTAGTGTCTTTAATGTTTTATTAAGATTCCTGGGAAATGATGACTTACACTTCATTTTAACTTTTCAGACGGGTTGCAGTATTTCTTGGATTTGCACTAAAGTAGCTGGACTAGCATCATAGTTCCATAAATGTCCAGGTTGTAAAGAAAGCTTGAAGTTAGCTATAAGCATGTATTATAATAGCATTTTTTGTAATTATATAATCATTGTAGGAAATTAGAAATGCTTTTGCTAAATTAAAAAGCAATCAGAAGAGAGGAAAAGTAAGAAAAATAGCCCCTAATCTTACCATTTAAAGGTAACAACTATTAACACTGATCAAATTGCACATAACTGTTGTAACATCCTTTTCACTTGTATTGAGAATTTTCCATTTTAATAAAAATTATTGTGCAGCATGGTTCTTAATATCCATATAGTATCACTTACACAGATACACTATTACTGGAACCAGTCCTCCAATATTGGGTACTAAGCTGTTTTTACTAAATAATGAAATTAGATCTGTTACACTAATATAAATGATGTAAGCCTCCTTATACACAGATAATGCCCATTTCAGATGATTTTCTGTGGATTGATTCCTAGAAGAGTTTTTATTTCCCTGTAAAACATTTTAAGTGTAAGTGTATACACAAAGTGTAATTTCTTTACATTTAGTTTAAAATCCATTGTTTTCCGAAGTTGCTTGTTCTCTGCAGAAGGAATCATCAGAAAGTTATTTTCCCCAGATTCTCCAAAGCATTTATAAAAGAACACTTTTTAAGGCTCTAGGAAAATAGGTTTCACAAATCTTTTCCCCTAGCACATGCATAATAGTCTGTAAACTGTTCTGTATTTTTATACCCCTTAATAAATTGAAGATATATTCTGATGTCCATATTCTAGTTTATAAGGGCTGTGTTGTGTTCCTCTGTTGATGGACATCTTAAGTTACGTTTTGGAGTTTTATTAAAAGCAATGTTTTAATGAACACTGACTTTATCTCTGAATCTGTTTGTGTTACAAGGTTACTTTGAATCTCAGGATACACATTTTTAATTTGGATAGATGATGCCATGTTGCTCTCTGAGAAGAGTACTAATTTATAGTCCCTCACTGTCTGAGCTTCTAGTTTACTTTTAGTTCCTACTTTGATACTGTGATAGCATGTAAGATTGCTCGTTTTCAGGGTCTTAACATTCATTAAACCGTGCACACCTATTATGTGCCAGGAATTACTGGATTCTTCACATTACCAGGTTTAATCATACCACAGTTTTCTAAAGAATTAGTACAATAATAGCATATTAAACTTGTGCTGTGATAGGCACCTTGTCAGACATTTGTGTTACTGTGTCTATCAAACTAATAATTTTTTTATGCTGATGAGAAAATTGAGATGCATAAAGAATTAACTGTCACTGAGTTACACAGATACTTAGAGCCAGTTTCAGACCTAGAATTGATAGACCCCAAAGTCAGTGCTTGACTAAGGGTGTTGTGTTGAACTCACAGATGTAAACCCACATCACATGTGGGAGTAATGGCTGAAGTAAGTACAGTGGGAGCACAGACGGGACAACTGATTTTAAGGGGAGACGGTGTGAGCAAGTGTGATTAAAAGAGTGATTGCCTTTAAAATCAGGAAAGTGGTCACTGATGCAGGAGAGGGAGGAGGTTGTGACTGAGATAGGACTAAGCCCTTGGAAGGAGGGGGACTACCAAGGTCTACTTGATTTGGGCGGTAGTTACATAATGCTTTATTCTTTAAGAGCTTAGTTGTATGTGGTGTTATAGTTCACAGTAAAAAGAATTTTTTTGAAGGCCAGCAATTTAAAGCCAATGCTTAGATTTTTGATAGTTCCACTTTTTTAAATCACTTTAGCTCTTTCAGTCAAGTTTCAGTGGGGAAAAGAAATCCATGAAATTTAGGGAGAAAAATATCCCCACTGAAAGAGTAATTATGCATCACAAAGTGTGCTTCTGTTTGGAGCCAGAAATAACAAGAAATGTGCAAGAGTGAACTTACTGTGTGCAACACTGTGCTTTCCGTATTAGACGGTGGCAGCTTTCAGCTCCGTTTTCGCTATTTTAACAAACCATGCCCATTTATAAAGCACAACTCAGAAAGTTGCCTGTTCCCAGGCAACAGCTTTGCAAGGGTGAATTTGTTTAAAGGGTTAACCTGAAAAATCAGGTTAGTGTTATCTTTCCCAGTTTAGCTGTAAACAACATGATACCTAATTCAAGTCAATGCATCCTGAGAAGCAAAGGCTAAAAGGTTTCCTCATGAGTTTAGGGAAGCTGTATTCTATAGTCCAGGGATCCTGGAACTCTCCCTCAACCAAATGTGGTTCAGCCCATGTGCTTTTATTCCAGACTGCACCTCTGTGGAGCCGTTAGGTCCTCTCCTTGGTGGCCAAACCCCTTCTCTGCGTAGCAACATCTAATCCACTTTGCTCCTCCCCAGAATTCAGCAGTTTTTCCCCCATGAGTTTTGTTTGTGTGAAAAGCTTTGATCTCTTAATAGTTTAAGCCCAGCACTAGTTAATCTTTAAACTCTCTCTTCCTTAGCACTTTACAGACCCTAAAAGTCTCTAAGACATTAATCTCCACACATGGTCCTTCCCATTTTGCCTTCCTGCTGTCAGTCCAGTGAA